CTCTTTATCCTTTCCCCTTCCAAATTTCACCAGCCTCAGGGCCTTTGAATATACTTGCTCTACCAGTAGACGCAGATCAACTGCTTCCATCTCCAGACACAGGGCTGTTGGAGACCTTCCACGTCCTGGCAGAGTGTAACATCTGCTTCAGAGACTGTGTCACAACTGAAATTATACAGTGTTGCTACTCTTTGTTCAATATCTGTGTCGACACTAGAGGGTAAACGTGTGGAGGGCGGGGGCTGTGACTTTGTGCACCCAATCTGTACAGCACAAGAAACTCACAAGAAGTCCACAGCTAAGCAGGGAATGAAGCTGAACAGATGGAAGAGAGGTGTGCTGGGGACTGATGTGGGTCCAGTCTTGGCATAGCACTGTGATGACTCCGGCTTTCTTTCCTAACTTAACTGAGCTGCGAAGAATGCGGGTTACAAAAGAGACTGACTTGCTTTTACTTTTATAAGGAGTTCTGTCATTAGTCAGCTCTTACGCCAAGTACAGTAGACCTTGACTTATGAACTCAATTCATTCCCAAGGACTGATTGTAACTCACGTTGGCCAACTGCCTTCAAAGTCTCTCTCCTGTACAATTCTGGGTCACACTTTCTTCCCGGCAGATCTCCGTGTCCTCCGACAGACGTTGGCCCAGGATTTCTATGAGCCCCACACAAGAGAGGATGTTGTCATGTTCCTTCCAGAACTCTTTAAGGGTTAAGTCTGTGTCTGAGACCATCTGGAAGCACAAGCAGCCGGCATTCAGGTCTTAACTCAAGACTCTGGTCATAACTTAAAACTTGAGGGTGCACTGTATAGGAACTATGAGGCTGAATCTAGGACTTCGGCCAGGAAAACGCAGAAAGGTCTAATATCTGGGTGCCTACGAAGATGTACAGGACCTCAAAAAATCCCTGACAAGCAGGAAACTTAGGAAGTTGGGCTTCTGGCTCTGAACCCTCAGGGAACAGATCCAGCATCTTCTGGGGCGCATACTTAAAATCCAGCCTGCAGACGAGAGGCATCGGGAGAGCTGCTGAAAGCCCCGAAGCTGAGACCTGGTCAGGAGCAGAGTTCACGCGACGCAGGTCCCGAAAGACTGCTGCACAGAAGGCAAGCGACATTTCCTCTGCAGCAAGCTCAGGCAGCTGGAGCGACCTCCCACGAAACAAGTCCTCAGCATCACACGGGGCTTCAAATGATGCCCCGAGATGAAAGGCAGGCTCAACGCCAGGGAGCGCACCGCTTTCTCTGGAACAACTGCAGCTTCAGTGACATCGGGGACCAAACAGTTCCTTGCACTGGAGATGGAAGCAGCATCCCCGGCCTCTGTGCATCCGAAACGATTCCGCTGCCAACAAGGCAACAACAAAAAATGTCCCCAGGGTTGGGATTCAGCTCAGTGCTTCCACTGCCTTCCTCACAAGTGCAAGGTCCCAAGTTCGATCCCCGGTACCAAAAAAATAAAAAGTCTCCAAAACTACAGCATCTACCCTGGCGTGGGGGGCAGGGGCAGGGGCAGGACACTATCACCAGCTGAGAAACACTGCTGTATTTTAGCAACCCAAATGCAATCTTCAGCAACGACTCCTCTCTGGCCTTCTTACACAGTACATACAAGGCAACGGACGCCCTCTCTGGTGATTAATTACTCCATCATAGACTAAAATTCTCTCACTTCTAGTCCCTTGGAAGATAAAGCAGCTATGTGAAAAGAAATGAACCAACCCTGAGGTTTTCAAACAACGCAAGAACTTCAGGAAGAGCTGGTGTTAATCACGAGCTCAAATAAAGCAGCCTATTGTAAGATAATGCAGACACATTTTGGACGAAAGTGAGCAAGTTCCCTGTGCATATTTAAAAGTGAAATTTGACCCAGTCACCTTTATCATCTCTGCGAAACTAAAGTTTTTCCAAATATATCACTAAGTAATTCAACATGTTTATCACATTTTAAGAAAGCAGGTTATGAGCCAGATGGACATCCATGAAGGACTCAATTAAAATAGGCAGTCACCATCTGATGTGCTTAAAAGGGAAGGGTCCAAGCAAATTTGCGCCAGTCAGCAGTTCTGAGCACCTTCGCCAGTCAGCTTCTGAATTCAATGAATCTCTTTCCGGAATGGAAATGGAAACATTCCTTAGAGGTTATCAGGCCTGAAGAGGACATATATTTACGCTATGCATTTTTTCACCATCAAGCAGGAGGAGGAAACAGGTTTTCTTCGCATTAGAAGCTGTGACCTCAGGTGAAGCCAAAACCCCAGCTCCTAGCTCAGAGCTCTTCTTTTCCAAAGTAGCTGCCGGGTGAAGTTTTCAAGCTCTCAAACACAGGTCTTTTGTCCAGAGCAACATTAACTGAGCACACGACAGCCTGATTCCAAGACAAAGAGACCCCTGAGCAAGGCGCGGGCCAGACACAGACTACCCCTTTAGCTTCCACCGCCAACCGGAACCTGCAGCAAGACCGGAAGGCAAGCTCTGGGCTCAGGCACATAACCCAATTTTGCTTCTAGGAATCAAGTTTTCTAAGGACACATAAAGCTAAGATTTCTAAGAAACCATTCTTTCCATTCACACCGAGGAGAGCCCATGAAGCAGAAAGCCCACCCAGGAGACATAATTAGGGTGATGGAGACAGGAATCCTAGTGCACAGGGATTTTGATACTGAGAATTGTCAGGAAAAAACCACAAACAGGAAGCGTTTCCTTAGGAGCAGTGGACAGGAAAGCCATCTACAGGCCATCAGAAGCACATGCTGTTCAGACATGCATTTCAGGCACATGATTCCCTCTCCAAGGAAGACACAGAAACTCGAATGTCTCCTTTCCCAAAGTGAGTTACAGAAACTAATATTCCCCTGCCTTTTGTCTTGGAGCTGCCCATAAAGAAATTCTTTGACCTGGCTTCCTGATAATAGATCAGAGGACTGAAGAGTCTTAAACCCGGGAGCGTCCGTCCCCAGGCAGCTGGGAAGAACTCCCATTCTGGGATCTTGTGCTCTACAGTGGACCCTTCAGTATATGACCAGCCTAACAACTTGGGTGACAACCAGAATTTTAGTTTTAACTTAGGAGCCAAGTCTTGGAGTTACGTCCTGAATGCTGGCCGTGTGTGCTTCCAGATGGTCTCAGATACAGATGTAACCCTGAAAGAGCTCTGGAAGGAACATGACAGCATCCTTTCCTGTGTGGGGTTCCCTGAGAAACCCTGAGCCAGTGTCTCTCTAAGGACCCTGAGCTCTGCCTGTGCACAGCAGAGAGACTTTGAAGGCTGTGTAGGAGCTTGAGCCGTCAACTGACCGACTTGCGTTACAACCAGCCCTTGGGAATGAACTGAGTTCCTAAGTCGAGGTCCACAGTACTCTCTGCTGCACAGACAGACTGAGAAGAACTTGAAGGGTGGGCCTTACTGGGCTTCGCTGTGCAGTCCACGAGCTTTACCTAACTGACTTCTGTCCACACACAGCTTCCCAGGGTCGTCTGGGCTTCGTTACAGTCTACAGAAGACAAAGAAAACAGGGTACGAAGAACAGGACAGCCGAAAAGGTGGAGGCTCCCAGGAGGAAAACCAAACACTGGTCGCAGGCCAGGGTGGGAGCCCATCCCAGCTGCCTGGGGACAGGAGCCCCCAGGCTTCCAGACCTCACCCTACCTATCTCTTGAATCCTTGAATTGTTTACAATAAAGTAGCAAAGAGTTGTGTTCCGAGTTCTAGAAGCCATTCTACCCAATGAAGTGTATACCAACAGGCCCACAGGAGCAGAAGGTCCCAAGGTGTGGACTCAGGACTGGGTCTGAAGGAGGGACAATCGTCTGAGACTTGCGTCCTCTTCCTGTGGAATGTGAACGGTGTCAGAAGTGAACACCTGGCAGCTGACAGGCAGCGCAGAGCGACTGCCTGCTACTGGGGCAAAATCCCACAGCCTCTGGGGATCGCAGGACCACTGTATTCTGAGAGTGAAGCCGAAGAAACAGTGAGCGTCTTTTCCACTGTCTCAACAAAAGCGTCACTAATCATTTCCTCATTTGTAAAGGTTCTACGTGGGAGCTTCAAGGAGCCCTAGAGGGTCAGTAAGTGGGCTCCAGGAGCCGGGCTGTGGAGAGCAGCCCTGTAAGTTACGCGTTAAGTCTACGGGGAACCGTCTTTCTGAAGAGGATTTCATGTCACAAGGTGAATCATGAAACACCGAGAGTTGGAAATGCTCCTTTGCTCCTACAAGCGCAGCAGCACCAGTCCACAGTCACTCCATGCTGGGGTGAAGCCAGACCATGGGGCGGTACTCATTTCATTCTACCGCAGACTTGCAAATCTTACCATGGGGAGAGAGCCGGCCAGTCAATAAACAAACATGTTTATCAACTGAAAGGACAAGGACAGTGAAAACCGCCAGGGGACAAAGTCAGGTGAGCGCGGAAGGGAAGCTAGGTGACGCAATGATATGCTCCCCCCCACCCCTCCACAGTGTAAGATTCAGAGCACCAACGCCTCCTGCTGGCCGGCAGTGTGGACCTGCTCGAAAACCGAGGGAAAGTGACCGAGGACTAGAGCACAATGTCACCGCTGATGGTTACAGTTTCTTCCTCAGGAGTTCACAGGGGAAAACAGAACAAAACAAAACGCACTGCCTACAAACACCTGTGGGACTCTGAGGATGACGAGACTCTCCTTTCTATGTCCCTACTTCACCTAACGAGAGACAGTAGTCACCCAAGTTGTATACAAGAAGGCAGAAATGGACAGTGAAAAACCACGCAGAGGAGGAAACCACGGCCTCCTCCACCAGGACTGAGTCTACTTAGGCCAACATGCCTGCGCTGCTTCTGTTTCTCCACCTGAATGAAGATGGGGTACCAGAGGGGCATCCAGCTGCCACAAAGGATTTAGAGAAGACATGAGGCACCGCCAAGCCTGACCGGCAGGCAGTCGCAGGGTAAGGACACAGCATGGGATTCGTGCAAACACCCCCGCGCTGCTGCTTTTTGTGATTCTCCGTTTCTCTCACCTCCACCGGAAATCTTCTGCCATTGATGCTGTGTTCCGAGCCCGCAGAGCCGTTGCTGTGGCCCCAGTGAAATTCCACCTTCTCAGCTTTGAATCTGCCAGGCAGGCCAGCACCACTGATGAAATAATCATCTTTGAGAAGAATAGCAACTGTGTAAAATGGAAGAGGAGAAAAACAAAGTGAGTTCCACACCTAGACTAGGGATTTCTGCTGTTACTTTTAATAAAACTTGATTACAAGATGTGAATTATTTCCTCATATAGCTGATCATGACAATTCCCAGGCAAAGATCTCAACATTTCTTGTCCGTTTAACAACTTGGGAAAAAAAACAGAGACAACATAAGCCGGGCGTCGTGGTGCACGCCTGTAATCCCAGCACTCAGGCGGCTGATGCAGGAGGATCGCTGTGAATTCAAGACCAGTCTGGACTACATAGTGAATTCCAGGTCAGTCTCAACTACATAGTAAAACCCTGTCTCGAAAAACTGAAAGAAAAAAAAAAAAGAGAGACAACGACAGAACAAATCACTATGAATCAATGTTTTGTACATTTGCTTGAAGATCAAAATTATCTGGAGAGAGATGCGACTTAAGCCTAGTTCTGGCAGGTAGCTGGGTTTCCTCTACTGCCTCTTTTCATTCGAAGCATGAGAAAAACACACACGAGGGTACCCACAGCAATGAGAAGCTCCGCCAAATTCAAACCCTAAATCTCAAATGCACACTGCTCTCCTTGACTCGTGCAGAAGACAATTCCAGAATAACCTGGATTTGTACTAAAAGAAAACTTTATTTTCGCAAAAGGAATGGAAAATCAAATGCATACTACATAGTTTCTATTTTACCAGGGGTATGTCCTCTTTCGCTTTTTCTCTCACATGGATTCATTCATACATTAACAAATTCTTACTGGCTGCTAAATATGTTAGGTGCCAGCCAGTACACTGATGGCTTACCACCAAGTGCCATGGGAAAGCTCTGGGGCCCTCACCGTCACCTCTTCCGGGAGACCCCAGCCAGAGCCTCAGAGAGAAATCTTGCATGCAAATTAGGTCACCATAAAAGACAGGGACCCGACTAAGGACCCATTTCTAAAACGGGGCAATTAGTTTCAGAATTTCTGTGTATAAAGGGAGCACTAAACGCAAGTGAAGAAACCCTGCTCCTATAAATCCCTTTTTATGGCCTTCAAAAGGCAGTTTTTCCCCAACTTCTGAAAAATATCCAGTGAATGTTCAATTAAAGTGAATTAAAGGATGAAATGAAGCGAGTGTTTCTGGTGCCAATTAGACATGTTAGGGCACTGTTCCAACTCGACTCTGTTTGGGGCATGTTTTAGCACAAGGGTCAGCTTGCTTCCTGCTAAGGGCAACTTCGTGCCTATTTCAGGCTTTGCAGAGGATTTTTATGACCTGGCCTCACCTCTGTAGCACAGAAGCAGGTGGAGACAATACACCAGAGGCTCTATTCCAATAAAACTTTATTTAACCACGCTAAAATTTAAGGCTGATATAATGTTGGTGGGTTGTAGACTATTATTCTCCTTTTGATTTTTTAAAAAGAATTTTCAAATATAAAACAAGGCAGAGGGCCCATCACTTCATTACACCTTAAAATATAATATCCGAGAAAACAAAATATCTAAAATACTATAAAACTGATGTTTACATAAATACGTTGAGAGATGATAGCATTCAATAAAAAATGTGAAAAAAGTCTTTGTAAACAGGGAAGGGTGGAGGGGGTAAAGGGAGGGCAGGGCTATGGGGGAAAAATGAGCACCAAGATGTGTCATGTAAAGGTACCAGATCCCAATGATGAATGTAACTGTACTGTGCTACCTAACATGCACCAATAAACTCAATGAGAGAAAGAAAAGAAAGGTAGCTTTTAAAAATTACTTACTATCCATACTTTTCATTTCAATGTCAAAATGCCTAGGCATTAGCTCAGCAGTGTCGTGATGCTATTGATTACTCTCAGCCTGTTACAAATTCTACATTTAAAGTTCTGCATCCGAGGGAGGGAGGCCATGATGTTCAGAGCACCTGTTACAATACACCAGGGTCCCGGCAATCGTCCTATGAATGTTTGATTTTACCTAAAACGTATGTATCTCTGTCACACGTCATTTTATTTGTTTTCCATGAGTAATTAGAAAAGGGTACAATCTGAAACATTCGTCCTGTTTTCATTTCTCCCACCTGCTACATGCACATTACCCTTCTAGAAGGGGCTCACAGTGTGGTTTGCATATGAAAGTGGGAAGCAAGAACGTTCCCAGTTACCAGGTGGCAATTTCCTAATGGTCACTGGTGACAGCAGTGCTTCACAACAGAACTGAGCAACGGTAAGGATCACAGAACACGTCATGCTTTATGAGCAGGAACTCCAATGAGAGTGCTGTGGCCGAGCATAGGGGCACACCCGTGCAACTCCTGGGAAGGTACTGGCGCTCTGGGAGGCTGAGACAGGTGGACCGTAAGTTTGAGCCTAGCCGGGACAATTCAGTGAGATCCTGCTTCAAAATAAAAGTACTAAAACCTGGACGGGGGATGTGGCTCAGTGAGAAGAACCCTGGTTCAATTCCCAGTACTACAAATAAAGGAAAAAAGAAAGGTATGTCCTTAGGCAGGTCACTCCACTTCTCTGGGCCTCAGTTTCCAGCCTGTTTAAAAAGGGGCAGAGGAATTAGACCAAGGGGTAACGCTGCTTTCACACCTGAAGGGAATCGAGGTCCATAACCATGGAGCACAGGGCTGGGGACCCAATCGGCAAAGCTCCGCTGGGCCCCGCTGTGGGCACCAGAGTAGCCGGGTTCGGCACAGTGAGGGCAGGCAGCACAGGGCTGCGAGCCAGGGCTCACGATGACAGCCCTGACTTCCAAGGAAGGACAATGCCATAAGGCAGGAGCGATGGTAAGGGCAGGCGCAGCCGGAATTTCTCCTTGGCGGAGACCTCACAGGGCGATGGATGCTCCCGGTTCATTCAAACAGACTCAAAACCCACACTGCCTGTTGCTGATTCTCTCTCTCCTTTCGATTTTATCAAGGGAATGAAAACCAACCTCTGTATTTTCTTGATATGCATTCATTTCTCCCTCCTTTTCCCCAAAAGTAACTATCAAAGGAGATTAACACAGGAAACTGATTTATTTTCACAGATTGTAGACCAATTTTTAACAAGTCTACCCATGTCATGCCACAGTGGTTTTTCAGTGATGGCACGGACGAAAAAGATTTTCTTTTAAAATCAATCCATTTAATAAAAATAAACGAATCAAGCTGAAAGGAAACCGGTAAATAAATAATAAGGTAAGAATGATAAATATGGATAAATACGTAGGGCATGGTGGTACATGACTGTTTTCCCAGCTGCTTCAGAGGCTGAGGCAGGACGGTGGCCAAGTTTAAAGGGTTGAGAAGGTAGCTTCCTGGAGAGTGGTCTTCTAGGCTCTGGGTTTAATCCCCAATCACACACACACACGTATAACCAGTAAATACAAAATTTAAAACAACAGTAGTTACAGCAGGATATGGATAAGGCAACAACTGGGGAGGTGGCAAGCCAACAGGCAGACTGACAGTGACGGCATCATCGATTGAATGTATTTTTGCAAGGTTCATACACCGAAGTTTTAAGCCCCGACACGGTGGCATTAGGAAGTGGGTGCGTGATGAGGAGGAGTCCTCACAAATGTTCCCGTGGCCCTATTACACGTGAGGCCCGAGGGAGGCCCTGAGCCCGCCCGCCACAGGTGCACACAGTGGAAGGTCGAGTCTGTGGGCACCTTCCCCGCAGTTCCAGTTTGGGCCCTGGCACCATGAGAAGTGCCTGACGTGGAGCCACTCCACAGGCTGTCCTGACACAAACATGTAAGGGGACTCAGAGCCGATGGCTTTGTAGAACAAGCCCCCTCGTGGATAGACTGCTCCCTAACACTTAGGACAGCGGTGAAACCGAGGCTTGCAGAATCCAAGAGATGGGACAAAGGGGACCAAACGCAGGGTTTCTCATCTGAGACGCCACAAGGCCACAGCAGCAGTTCGCATCGTGATGCGGGCAGTGACATCCATCCGGGCATGGGCAGAGCTGGCCAGCTGGACTCCAGGGCACACTGCCTGCACGAGAGTCCCGGGAGTCCCAAGGTCACTGGGGAGTTGCTCTTCTTGGTGTCTCAGCTCCTACTCTGCAGAAGTGGAAGTGGGCGGCAGTGACTTCCCAGGGAACTGCGAGGGTCACAAGGCTGGACGTACTCAGAATGCGGACAGCAACGCACACCAACACAGGACACAAGGCTGCCTCATCGACACAGCGCTCATTAGGCCGGGGGTGCGACAAGGTCCTGGGCTTTCCCGGACTCCTCCCCGGCTGTGCCCAGGGGCGCGGGCAGGGTGGAGGGCACCACTCCTTCAGTAAGGAGTTTCTGTTTTCTCCAAAGCTTGGAGGGTGGCTGGGTCCCGGACCGTGTTGCTTTGCAGGACATCCAGGAAGATGTTAAAAATTGAGTTCAACAAGGGCAGACCTGCAGGGCTGAGCCAAACGTTCTGTGTAAATAGCAGCAGATGCTAGGAGTTAGAGGAACAGGTGAAGACTCAGGTGCTTACCATCTTACCGGCCTGTTTCTTTTCAACACTAACAAGGTCAGGGGCTGGGGATTCAGCACAGTGGTGCTGCCGACTGCCTCCCAAGTGTGAAGGTCCAAGTTCGATCCCGGTACCAAAAAAAACAAAACACTAAGAAGGTCAGCAAAGCCTATCATCACTGGGTTGTAGCAGCAGGAGCCCCAGACCAGACCCACCACACCTGGGGAAGCTCAGCTCCTGCCGGAAAGTCAGGATGTATGGTCTCTAGGGCCAGTCTCCCACGGAGCTCTCTGAACATGTTTTCCCAACAATCCCTCAAATTTTTACTGGGCTACTTCTGGGGAAGAAGAGGTAGGGAAGAGGAAAAGACGGTGTGGCGGGCCTGACGGGAGTCCCCTGGGCTCCAGGGGAAGGCGCTGCCCTGGGATGCTAAGGAAGAGAGCGCAGGGAGCTCGAACAGAGCTACGCAGAGAAAGGCCCGTGACAAGAGGCGGGAGCAGGAAGCAGTGTGAGGCGCAGTGGGTCTCTGTCCCAAGAGAAACGCCAAGGCCAGTACATGTG